GTTTTTCGTACGTTGTTGTAGAAGAACACTTATTTTTGTATCCCTAAGTTTAATAGGGAATTGTCATACTGTTTTATATAATACAGTAATGTGATGTTTGCTTTGTCATTGCACTGTCTCTTCTATTTTGAGCTTTCTCTTATGATTCAAGAAATACACAACTCATGTTGTATCTCAATCAATAGACGACTAATCCCAGGGGGACCTAGTCCGACCTCTTTCACACAGGTTAAAATCATCAAGCAAATGCTTTGATTAACAACCTCAGATAGGTTAGAGTATCCCAAAGCGGATATCTCTCGCATTCGTGCAGATTAGAAAGACTTCCTCAACATTTGAGTTAACATATATAAAGAAGAAAATTGACTTTTTTATAAACCCACGAACATCAAGTACATCGTCCAAAAATAACAACACACGAACGGCAGGAACATACGAACAATCATCGCAACAAAAGCAAAAGCAATACGGAAAGCATCAAAACAGTTCTACATAATCTCAAGATCATCATCATCGTCCTGTTCCAACACAAAGATCTTTTGCAAATCACTCTCCAATTCTTCGCCGCCAGAATCAGGAGAAGGATCACCAGAAGCTTGGCTTGGGGTCAACCCCTCGATATCCCCTCTGTTCCTGCGTTTCACAGCACGAACGCCCTTCATAAAGCCTTTAATGAAGCCATCCTGCATAAGCTCCGCTTCTAAGGCCTTCACCTCTACGTCATAAAAATAATCGCGAGCTTCCTGGACTTGATCCTCGATAAAAATCTTAAAGGCATAAGATTTTTTGAACTCCTCTACGGCTGTAGATGGTGACAGTTGAGCTACCTTCTCTGACAACTTGTTCAGGAGCTTCTTATTCTCAGCCTCGAGGGTTCGCATATTTTTCAGTTATTGGTTGTTTGTTGCCTCCGCCTCCACCAACTGAATATGCAAACGATCCATCTGCTCATTTTGGGAAGAGGCTAAAGCAATCTTGTTCGCTAATTCTATTCTGCATTGATCGAGTTGACTCTCCACCATCTCCATTTCCTTCACTATGTTGTCGCATTTCTTCTTGTATTCTCCCTGGAGGTATTTGACCTTCACGAACTCGTCATTCCAATCATCTAAGATTTTGTTCAACTCAAGATACTGTTCAAAAAAGAATCAATAAGTAAAAAGTATATCCTCTAAATTAGACGCAAATACAATGGAAATAGAGGAAATGTAAACCCACCAACTCTTCGACTCGCCGACGACCGATACACTTATGTTTCAGAACATCCTCTGGAATGTATATCCTGGATAGAGAAAAGCGAGGGCCCTTACCGGCGACTGCAAAAACTTTGTTTGACTTCTTCTTCTTAGGCGTATATGAATCTCCCTCGCCCTCAGGTCGCCTAGATTGAGTTATTTTGACTTCCGAGGCTTTTGTGGATATCTTCAATTTCTATGCGTATGACCTCCCTGCATGAGTGTATAGTCCCACCTTAAATAAATATTCCTCATCCAAACATTTGTTAAGAGAGCGCATCTCGTAACGAAGAGCTTCGGTATTATGAAGCTTCAACATACTCAACAAGTCATCCGGTCCAACATGAAGGGGAATGGGTAGCTCCCTTCACTCCCCCCACCTTTCTTGGAGGCCCCAATCATTTTGCACAAAGAAATAATTGCTAATCCAATCCTTGGATCGATTCCGCGTACGAATGTCCAACCATTTAGATCTGAAGGAAATAAGGCCCTGCGGATCAGTATAGATACGCCCCATTCGGGATAGACATTCTGCAGACAATACCGCTCCATGTTCTCTGAAGAATGCGATCATACCCACTACCACCAACATGGCCCGGTAGGAGAATTGAGATAAACTCAATCCACAAGCCGTCAAGATATCCACCAGTTCGATCGGCGGTGGAAATTGCAACCCCGCTCACAAACTAAATTCATACACTGTCACGTATCCTCGAGGAGGTGAGCATGCGCGCTCAGATCTCGTCGGCACCTTCATCACCAAGTCACTAGGAAAATGATACTTTTTTCCTAAAAGAGATGAAAGACTCTTCTGTAATAGTAGAAATCACGTCGTCAGCTTTTTTCGCCTTAGAAGCCTTCTTCGAACCATCTGAACTAGCAGTAGGACGATCTTCTACGATGGAAATATCTTTGGAAGAAGTGCGATCACCCATTTTGATTGCCTCACGAGAATCCACCAGAAAGAAAAATCCCTTAACTCCTGCACGAGAGGAGGGGCGCTAATTTCAGCAGGGGAAGTTTCCCGCTCGCAAATAGCGGAAGCCTCAACCGTTAGAAAGCCGTGGGGGAAAGAAGCAAAATCCCGTAACTCCTGCACGCGAGGAGGGGCGCTAATTTGAGCAGGGGAAGTTTCCCGCTCGCAAATAGCGGAAGCCTCAACCGTCAGAAAGTCATGGGGGAAAGAAGAGAAATCCCGTAACTCCTGCGTGCGAAGAGGGCGCTAATTCGAGCAGGGGAAGTTTCCCGCTCGCAAATAGCGGAGGCCTTAGCCGCTAGAGAACCAGAGGGAGAAAGAAAGAGAAGTTGTAAATTTTCTAAAGTCCTAGGGGGCCTATTCATAGGTTTTCGAGAGAAAGGAGGGAATTTATTGCCATTTTGGAATTTTTCTATTTTTCTAAATTTTTTTCGAATTTTTTGGGATTTTTTCGGAATTTTTTGGACCCAAAAATAGCCAAAAACTGCTATTTTCGTGCATGTGGGGCCCAAAAAGTCGGTGGGCCGAACCGACATGTCTCTGTCCTCAAAACTGCGCGGACAACGCACGGATCTATGTGCATTTCACACGAATCGTGGCCAGCCTTTAGCTGGCCACCGGCAGCAGCCCATGCGGCTGCAGTGGCGGCACGCCGAGAGTGGTCCGCGGAGCGTATCGCGGAAGTGAACCGCGGAGCGGTCCACGCAGGAGGATCATAGAACGGTCCACGGAGCGGACCTCGAAGGCATCCGCGCGCGACTCGGGCGCTCCCCCGCGT